CTATAGAAACTCTGTCCAGATGTGTTCCGGATGCATTCCTGCAGGGGTGCGTTCTGGTGTGCAGTCCAGTTACCTTTTCCCCCCTCTTTTTCTTCTATTTAAATAGGTACATGTGCGTTCCAGTACAGTTCTGTGCAGGAAAAATGCAGCCTGTTTTTTTTTTTTTCTTTCTGCTACTGGAATTGCAAGCACTGGTGTGAACTATGACATTGACCACCATATCACCTACTTTCTATGCGTTTTTGGATGCGGGAAAAAAGCAACTGAAAGGCATGTACAGTAATACCTCGGTTAATGTGATTTTCGGTTTACGAATGAAGATCCATTGAAAATAATGCCTCAGTTTACACATTTTTTTTCGCAATACAAAGTGTACATTGGTGCCGATTATTAGATGTGATTGTTGGCTTTTTAGGTTTTCTTCTCTATTGCTCACAGAATTAGCTGTCACTTTCCCTGGAGCTAAAGGAAACATTGTTTCTCTTAACTCAGGGAAATAAACTAAAAGGAAACATTTTCTCTTTTATGTGGGGGGGTGACAGCTGAATCTCTGAGCTATAGTGAAGGAGATAAAAAAAAGTGATAATTACATTTAAAAACCGACACCATAATAAATAAAAAAACAGCATGGGGTCCCCCCTCCCATCTATACCAAGGCCTTCAGGTTTGGTATGGATTTTGAGAGGAACTTCCACGCCAAAATTTAAAAAAAAAATGGCGTGGGGTTCCCCCCGAAATCCATGCATGCAGGTCAGGAAAAGGAGGGGGGAGCGAGCGCTTCCCCTCCTGAACCATACCAGGCCACATGCCCTCAACATGAGTTGCTTCCCCCTCAAAACTCCTTGTCCCCATGTTGATGGGGACAAGGGCCTCTTCGCCAAAGCCCTGGCCAGTGGCTGTGGGGGTCTGGGGGCAGATCGGAATCTGGAAGCTCCTTTTAACAAGGGGGACCCCAGATCCCAGCCCACACCCCCCTCCCTCCCCATGTGAATGAGTAGTAGGTACATGGTACCGCTACTCATTCACAAAACGTGTAGTGTAAAAAAAGTCCTTGATCCAACGTCAATCACGATGCCTGCTGTTGCAGCCAACCCGGAAAAAAAAAAATAAAGGCTGCGCTTCCAACCAGGGGCGGGCTGTCCATTCGAGCATTCAGGCACTGCCCAAGGGCCCAGGGTCAGTAGGGGGCCCCATGAGATGCCCCTGGTACCTTTTTTCATAGGCTTTTTTTTGGGCGTGGGCAAGGACACGGGTCCCATGAGTTGCCAGCCCGCTTCTGGTTCCAACAATGTCTTTCAGCCTTCTGCTTGCTCCGGTGGTTTGCCAGTTCTTAAATATGTAAGGGGCGGGGCCACTCAGGGACATCACCTGAGTGACCCCACCCCACTCCTCATTGGCTGTGACTGCCTGCAGTGGGAACCAATCACTCATGCTGCTGTGTGTCAGGCAATGAGAGAGAACTCACATACATACACATACTAGAGCTAAGTTAGACCGGAGACAACCTACCAGCATGGCTGTGAAGGGTGGGAGGAAACTGGAGTACCTAGAGGAAACCCACGCAGACACAGGGAGAACATGCAAACTCCAGGCAGGTGGTGCCGTGGTTGGAATTAGACTGCAGCAGAGTATCTGACATCCATAGGAAGCCAATGGGTGGTCTGTATTGTCAACAACTACCAAGAGCCAAAATAAAGTATTTGTGTTGTATGAGGAATAACAATAATAATAGTGATGTTCTACGGCATAAAGCCACAGATGAAACTGAGGGGCCCAGCACTGTACACCAAATCAAAGTGAAATCAAATATAAACAATATAAATTAACCCCTTGCCTACGGGGCACTGTCACCCCCTTCCTGCCCAGGCCAATTTTCAGCTTTCAGCGCTGTCACACTTTGGATGACAATTGCGCGGTCATGCAACACTGTACCCATATGATATTTTTATCATTTTTTTCACACAAATAGAACTTTTTTTTTGGCGGTGTATAATCGCCACCGGGGTTTATTTTTTTCACTATAAACAAAAAGCAAACAATCTGAAAAAAAGAAAAGGTTTTTCTTTGTTTCTATTATAAAATTTTGCAAACAGGTAATTTTTCTCCTTCACTGATGTGCGTTTAGGAGGCATTGATGAGGAGGCACTGATGATGCTGCACCAGGGGCGGACTGAACATTTGGAAATTCGGACACTGGCCGAGGGCCCGGGGTCAGTAGGGGGCCCCATGAGATGCCCCTGGTACCTTTTTTCATATGCTTTTTTGAGTTTGGGCAAGGACACAGGGGCCCCATGATCCCCTATTGCCCGGGAGCCACATGAGTTGTCAGTCTGCCCCTGTGCTGCACTGATATGCAGCAATGATGGGCCCCAATTATCAGTGCAGATCTGTTCTGTGACATTTGCCGGTTGTTGGCAGTACTTTCCTCACGCTGTCACGTTGCTGATAACCGGCAACCGTATTCACTTTGTGATCTGCTGTGTCATTGGACACGGCTGATCATGTGGTAAAAGGCCGCTGTGATTGGCCTTTTACCTAATTATGTGATCAGCTGTGTACGTAGGACACAGCGATCACTGACAGCACCGGGGGGGTGGCGTGTTCTGGGAGGACATCATATGACGCCCTCCCAGAAATGGACAGCCACACTGTAGCCGTCATTCGGCTGTAAAGTGGTTATTTGAAGTCCAATGTCAACACAATGTGTGAGTCCAGTCCCATAGGCAGAAGTGGTGATACGTCCCGTGACCGTTTCTGTCATTTTCATATGCAGTAACAATGGTGCAACATAGATGGATCATCGGTGTAATCTCATCCAATTCGGTGCCTCCTCACCCTCCAGGTTAGCGATGTCTCACTTCACACCGCACTCACCAGAGAGTATTGACTCCATGAGGGTGAATTATTAAAGACAAATAGACTGTGCACTCTGCAAGGGCAGTTGCTCCAGAGCTTAGTAAATGAGGTTAAGCTTCACTTTGCAAAGAATACCCAATCATATGTAAGGGAAAAAAAATAGCATTTTTGCTTGCACATGATTGGATGATTGAAATCAGCAGAGCCTCCCCTTATTTCAGAACTTCTCGTCAGATCTAGAGCAGCTGCATTTGCGGTGCACAGACTATTTGCCTTTAGTAAATCAACCCCCTGGTAGGTGAGCACAAATTCCAATCCCCCCAAGAGGTATCCAGGATATTATACGTCACGCCAGTTGCTCAAATGGTCAAATGTAGTGCGATAAGCACATGAAAGAAAAGCCTCTCATAATTAAACACCATTAATTATTACAAAAGGAATACAAGGCAATGCATTTCCATATATAAAATTCCAGAGTGGGCATGAACCAAGAAGCATTCACTGTGTGTGTGGCTAGCGTGTTCTCTACCAAGTGGATGTCATGTCACAGGAAATCCTCAAGGGAGGGAGGAGCAGGCAAGTGCCCTGCCATCCTAGGCTGTGTGTTTCTATTGATGTACACAGTGTAGGGAGACACAGCTCTATTCCCTGCATGCAATGGTGGCTTCACTGGACACTGCAAGAGAAAGGAGCCACCCTTTTTTTCTGAAAAAAGCAGTCATTGCACCAGCCTGAACTGGAACATAGGCAAGATGAAGAAGTTGCGTACTCAGTGATAACTGAATGTCAGCTGCTGAAAGTGTAAAGTGTTACTAAACCAGAACAGTAAAATCAGTCTGTAAATGCAGTAAAGCATGCTTGTTATACTCACTGTGGAACCTAAGGGGTTAATCCACATTGTGTAAAATAGCTGTTTGATCCTGTCTTCTCTGATCCTCCCTTTCTTCTACTGTCCCCAATGCATCTGCTGATAGTATAGAGCCCTAGGAGGCAATCTGTGCACGCTTAGTTTAGTGTGTGTTGTTATTTCAGGGAGAAGGGTGCATGCAAGGTCCGGGGATAGCGAATATAGTGAATGCAGGGTCCGGGGAGACCAGATATAGTGAATGCAGGGTCCTGGGAGAACGGATATAGTGAATGCAGGGTCCAGGGAGACCAGATATAGTGAATGCAGGGTCCGGGGAGACCAGATAGAGTGAATGCAGGGTCCGGGGACAGCGGATATAGTGAATGCAGGGTCCAGGGAGACCAGATATAGTGAATGCAGGGTCCTGGGAGAGAGCGGATATAGTGAATGCAGGGTCCGGGGAGACCAGATATAGTGAATGCAGGGTCCAGGGGAGACCAGATATAGTGAATGCAGGGTCTGGGGAGACCAGATATAGTGAATGCAGGGTCCGGGGAGAGCGGATATAGTGAATGTGGGGTCCAGGGAGAGCGAATATAGTGAATGCAGGGTCCAGGGAGAGCAGATATAGTGAATGCGGGGTCCGGGGAGACCAGGATAGTGAATGCAGGGTCCGGGAGACCAGATATAGTGAATGGGGTCCGGGGAGACCGGATATAGTGAATGCGGGGTCCGGGGAGACCGGATATAGTGAATGCAGGGGTCCGGGGAGACCAGATATAGTGAATGCGGGGTCCGGGGAGACGATATAGGGAATGCGGGTCCGGGGAGACCGGATATAGGAATGCGGGGTCCGGGGAGACCGGATATAGTGAATGCGGGGTCCGGGGAGACGGATATAGTGAATGCGGGGTCCGGGGAGAGCGGATATAGTGAATGCGGGGTCCGGGGAGATATAGTGGAGACCGGATATAGTGAATGTGGGGTCCAGGGAGACCGGATATAGGGAATGCAGGGTCCGGGGTTTAGTAACACTTTAATATCACTTTAAGCGGGGTATTGTAGTTTGATTTTCAGAGTAACAGTCTGCTTCATAAACTGCTACAAGTTGGGAGCGATGCCTAACCTATCCATGCATTGAGTAATAACTGCCAGAATAGGTATCAGACCTGTATACAGATTTATATTCTCTAAATTGTTTCTACTTCTGCTGAACTGCCTTTCTTCATTCACCTTGTGGATTGATCATAGTTATATATTTTTATTTTCTCTTTCTAGTGTCCTGTGAACCGCAAAAATGAGCGGGTCCAAACCGGACATCCTTTGGGCTCCCCACCACGTGGACAGGTTTGTGGTCTGTGATTCCGAGCTCAGCCTCTACCACATCGAGTCAGCAGCCAGCACCAGCTCTGAACTCAAAGCTGGATCCTTGAGACTGTCCGAAGAAACCACGGCAACCTTGCTAGCTATCAACTCTGACACCCCATACATGAAATGTGTGGCATGGTACCCAAAATATGACCCGGAATGCCTCCTGGCAGTTGGTCAGGCTAATGGCAGAGTTGTCCTTACCAGTCTAGGCCAAGACCACAATTCTAAGTGTAAGGAGTTGATGGGGAAAGAGTTTGTCCCTAAGCATGCTCGGCAATGCAATACTTTGGCTTGGAATCCTGTGGACAGTAACTGGCTGGCCGCCGGTTTGGACAAACACAGAGCTGACTTCTCCGTCTTGATTTGGGATATAAGCAGCAAGTACACGCCTGACGTAGCCGTCCCTATGGAGAAAGTCCGTCTTTCCTCCACCGATGGTGAATCGTGTTTAGTGGTGACAAAGCCACTGTACGAACTTGGACAGAACGATGCATGCCTCTCCCTTTGCTGGCTTCCAAGAGAACAGAAGCTCCTGCTGGCCGGCATGCATCGCAACCTGGCTATTTTTGACCTCCGAAACACAAACCAGAAAATGTTTGTCAACACCAAAGCCGTCCAGGGGGTGACGGTAGACCCACACTTCCATGACAGGGTGGCATCCTTCTTTGAAGGGCAAGTGGCAATCTGGGACCTTAGAAAATTTGAAAAGCCAGTGTTGACCCTTACAGACAACCAAAGCCGCTAAGCAAGGTGGCCTGGTGTCCAACAAGGACGGGCTTACTCGCCACGTTAACCCGGGACAGTAATGTAATCAGACTCTATGACATGCAGCACACGCCCACACCTATCGGTGATGAAACCGAACCCACCATTATAGAAAGGAGCGTACAACCTTGTGATCACTACATCGCTTCATTTGCCTGGCACCCAACCAGTCAGAACCGCATGGTGGTGGTCACTCCCAACAGGACGATGACTGATTTTACTGTTTTTGAGCGTATTTCGCTGGACTGGAGTCCTACTACCTCCTTGATGTGGGCCTGCAGTAGGCAGCTATACGAATGTACAGAAGAAGGGAAGGACAGCTCTGTAGACAGAGACATAGCCACAAAAATGCGCCTAAGAGCTTTATCAAGGTACGGATTGGACACAGAGCAAGTCTGGAGAAATCACTTACTGGCGGGAAATGAAGACCCTCAGCTAAAGTCTCTTTGGTACACTTTGCACTATATCCTTCAAGTGACTCCTGCTGTTTTGTTTGAAGGGATTGCTCATCAGATATTTGAGCTAACAAGCCATGTTGCACTAGCAAGCTTGTTGTGGCAACTCAATAATAGGAATGCTTAAGAGAGCGCTTTCCTGCTCCTATGGTGTTGCTTCCTCACTAGCTAAAATGATGTAGAATTATGCAAGCAAGGGAAGTGGCAGTGCAGTGACACCTTGCTAAGGAAGGGACGGACGATGTAGGAGCAGTTTGATGTTCTCTCTGTGCTTTCTCTGTCGACAGCAACATTACTTGTTTGTGCTAGCCTGGCAAGCAACAGAGCAACACTTTAACCTCACTAGCGTTCTGATTATGTCCATATTTCTGTGCTCAAAGCGGTACATTTTTTTTGCATGGAAATATGTCGTTTTTTTATTGTAGGTCTGTAAATTCTTAGGAATAACTCACTGAAATCTGTCCGAACAATAGTCTAGTAAACATCCCGGGTATGATAAAACTTGAAACACAAAATCATAAATTATAATTTAATAAACAATCCTAAAAAATAATAATAAATTGAATTCAATAATATAAACAAACCAAAACACTGAAATGTGAAATATAGCGCCAAGTTCGCACATCGCTGAGCAAAGTCGCAGAATCGTTTTCAGTGTCTGATGAGGAATTTCCCCCACGAATCATTATCACTCAATTCTGCAAGTGGTTCTGATTTACTATCGCTGTTCTCTAGCCGGTCTAAAACCGCTTTTGACCTAAAGGGACGCTTTTTGGACGCCATGGACTTTTCTAAGTTTCCAGGCAGAAAGAACAGTAAAAATGCAGGCAGGGCGCCGGACAAAGCACTCGGGACAAAATGTATGTGAAATGGTTTGATACAGGAATGTTATACTATGTGATTTTAGTGTATTTAGAGAATGTCACATTTTTAAATTTCCCGCCGGTTCCGTCCCTGTACGTTCCGACGTCGCAGGGAACGGAACCCGGTAGACAGATGCCGACATTGGCCGAGGAGATGACCGGGGGACGCTGCAGGGGGGACATCGCGGGAGCGAAGGACAAGGTAAGTGCTGCAGGGAATCCCTGAGCAGCGCTGTAGCTCGGGGTTACCGCTTTTGGTACTGAAACTTTACCCTGAGCTATACTTGGGAATACCTCCAGGGAGGTTAAAGAGCAGGTGTGCGTTCTTTCTGTTCTTAATCCTGTCACTGTGAGTATCCACCAGCAGCAGGATTACTAGCCAAACTGACTTTCAGCTAGGGTCCATGAGCAAAATCTAGCTTGCTTTTGGGCGTATTCAGATTATAATTGCTATCAGTTTGGGTCATTTGATATCATTCAGTATTCATTGATAGGTAAATGTGACTTTCCTCCAAGCTGCATCAATCTGCCTCAAGGTGCTTTTGCATTGCCATCGACCTGTATGGTGCGAGAATAAGTTCTGAGGCAAACAGAACCTCATACATGCTGGCCCTTACAGAAGAGTTCCTAATAGCGGCATGGTAATCATTGACAATTGCCTGCAGAACGTTCATTGAGAATTTGCTCCATAGTAGACAACTCACTTTCCTAAAAAGCATGTGGAAAAGAAAAAAGCCTACATCTGATCACAAAGGTTGAGCTGCATTTTTATTGCCTCCCAACTGCTTCCCCTTAAAGTGGGTTTTCACCACCCCCCACATTTTTTAAAAACAACCCTTTCATGATGGTGAGATTTACACATTTTAGATTCTCGCCCATCCAGTGAATCCAACGATGTCCAGCAGAGATCCTCCTCTCTTCTGGCAGCACTCAGTCCCTCACTGTCATGTTTTGCTGTAACATCATTGCGCAGCTGCCAGCTGTTCCGGGTTCAGCCAACACATCTCTTGATGACGCCCCATTAGGCCATCCCCCTCCTCTTTCACTGAATGAAAGGCTGTGCCTACTGGCATATGTGACGTTCATATCCTGGGAGGCAAATGGGGAACAGTGCACATCGTTTGTCTAGGTCAGGGGTCTCCAGACTTTATAAACAAAGGGCCAGTTTACTATCCTTCCAGCTTAACCTCCCTGGAGGTATTCCCTGGTGTAGCTCGGGGTAAAATCACATATAACATAACTGTATCAAACCATTTCACATACATTTTGTCCCGAGTGCTTTGTCCGGCGCCCTGCCTGCATTTTTACTGTTCTTTCTGCCTGCAAACTGAGAAACGTCCATGGCGTCCAAAAAGCATCCCTTTAGGTCAAAATCGGTTTTAGACCGGCTAGAGAACAGCGATAGTAAATTGGACCCACTTGCAGAATTGAGTGATAATGATTCGTGGGGGAAATTCGTCTTCAGACACTGAAACAATTTTGCGACTTTGCTCAGTGATGTGCGAACTTGGCGCTATATTTCAAATTTCAGTGTTTTTGGTTTGATTATATTATAAAATTAAATATATTATTTTTTTATGATTATTTATGAAATTATAATTTATGATTTCGTGTTTCAAATTTTAACATACCCGGGATGTTTACTAGACTCTTGTTCGGACAGATTTCAGTGAGTTATTCCTAAAAATTACATAATCAGACCGCTAGGGAGGTTAAGGGGGGCCGGACACTGGCCATTGGGAGTAAAAAAGGTCCCGATGTCAATGGAAATAAAAAATGCCCCATTGTTGGTGTCAGTGGGAGGAATTGTGCCCCATTGCTGGTGTCATTGGGAGGAATTGTGCCCCTTTGTCAGTGGGAGGATTATTTCATTTGTTGGTATCCGTGGATGAAAATCGTGCCCCAAGGGCCAGATAAAAGCAAACAGAGGGCCACAGTTTGTAGACTTCTGGCCTAGGTGAATGACGTTTAAGGGGGGGGAGTGAATTAAAGGGAAAAAAAAAATTCCTAATCGTGCAGAGGACTGGAGGGGGGATGGTGACAGGGAGGATGAAGAACCTCTATGGGATGCAGAGGCCGCAGCCAGGGTGTAGACATGCTGCCTTGCTTCGCAGTGACAGCAGGTAGTAAATCCCCTGTTGCTTCCAGTGTGCCCACTGAGCGCGACATGTTCATGTGAATTTGCAGGGTTCAAGGCAAGGATGGGAAAGAACCCTAAGGTCTTGTTCACAAGAGCAAAATGTACAACAAGCTTTTCAAAGAATTTGCAGAGCTTTCTACAAGCTTCTTTAACCCCTTGGCGCCGGCGCCTCCCGGCCCTTTAAGGGTTTCAGAAGCGTGGGGCGGGGTTTTAGGGTCATGTGACCGCCGTGATTCGCCGTCACGGCGGTCACACGATCGGGAAAGGTCCCGATTGAAAGAGGAGATCGGGACCTTTCCGTGAGTACCGGGCATGTGTGCTCGGACCACGTGGGGTGTGCGCTCTCAGTACATATGTTTTTCTTAATTGCTCACTAATGTGCCTCCGCTCGGCGTCTAGGCCCAGATGCCGGGAGGCCGCACATTTGTGTATGGCCGGCGTGAAGAGGTTAAAATACCATTCAGCTTCAGTTTGGGAAGTGCTGCAACTGTCAGTTTAACCAAGCTGCTAGTTGGCTTCAATAGGCTTCAGCACTACTTCAGTTATGCTAGCAGCGTGCTTACCCCCCCCCCCCCCCCCCCCCCCCCCCCCCCGTATGACTGCCCAACACATATGTGCAGAGGCAAAAGTGGGCTTTAACCCCCATACTCTGCACATGAGTGTCGCAGGGAGGCCAATGTTTATGTGCTGCAGCTGCCAGTATGGGGTAAAGATGGGTAGCCAGCGGGACCAGCATCCAATCATGTGACCAGTGGACAAAGCATTTGTTCTTTTATTCATTTTTTTTTTTTTTTTCCCCCAGGCTTTTTTGCCTTCATTTTTACCTGGTAATCCTACCAGTAAGACACTTCCTGCCCCATGGTGACAACAATCCCTCACCTTACTGTAATGAAGGAGTAGTGTTAGCGTTGTCACCCTAGGCTGTTGATTTGGAATACAGAATGTGCTCTCCATCATAACATAGTAGTCGATGTTCTTTACACCACATAAGATTGCTGCACAAATCTGACAACATTGTTTGTTGGGATTTCAGTGCTCCAGAGTCAGTGTGTGTAACGGACCGCCTGACAGCACCTCTATCAGTCCCCCGGTAGAGCCTCCCCAGAGTGCGGAGTCTAAGCACCGGAGCACTTGTTCACCAGGGCCCCTGATGGGGGGGATGGACTTGGAGCGCTCCGGTACCAGGTCGCAACTACCAGGTATCTCCAACAGGGGTAGAGGAGTCTGACAGGGGCTCCAGAGAGCTATGAGTCTGATGTAAGGGAGCCTAGTGATCCCTGCGGGGTGGGTGGATGGATGAGCTAAATCAGAGTCATGCAGGCCGGGTCGGTAACTAGCGGATCGGTAAGGTACAAAACGGTAGGCTAAGGATAGTCGGGTCACACGCAGGGTCAATACCAGGAGGTCAGATCTAAACGAGAACATCCAGGAGCAGAGTTAGGCAAGCCAAGGGGTCAGGACGGGAGAAGGCAACAAGGTCAAAACAATCCAGATCAGAAGTCCTCACACACAGGTAACAGGATACAAAGACCATTCGGCAACAAGTGTCTGTGCAGGGCTAGTTTAAATAGCCCGCCCTGCACCTGACAGGCGTAGCCTGGGTCCCAGTGCCTGCCTAGTACTGTCCAGACGACGGGTGCGCCTGGGTCCTAGTGCCCTGCCACCTATATGTCTCGGCAGACACCTACGCATGTGTAGACCCATGCGTCGCGATGGTTCCTGACAGTGTGTTGTCAGCTCTCTGAATTTCTGGCAGATCAGGTATTTTCTATACTTGCATCATTTTAAAAGGATATGACATGGAGAAATGTACAAGTATTGCAGAGATGTACTGAATGTATGGAATTTTACTTCAGATATGCACAAATGATTGTACACCTGTGATTTTCCTATATATATATGTGAATACTTATGAAGCAGTATGCAGAAGACATAGATCAGAAATCTTCAAGCAACAAAGGATCATTGGTCTTCGCTGGTATTAAAACCATTGTGAAGTCATCAGTTGGTAAGAAGATGAAACCAAATTGAAATAGGATTTAAGCTTTTAATGTACAGTATTTATTTCTCTATTGATTGAACATGATGAAACGGATGCACAATTTATATCGCCAGACGCCCAGGATATGCAATTCCAGGCGCCGCAGCTGTTTTTTTTTTTTTTTTTTTTTTTTTTATAGCCCTGCTGTGCAAGCAGTCTCAGTACAGGTGCAATTTTTCTGGCGCTCTCTCTCTTCCCAACTGCCTCCCATTGGCTTCAATGCAAAAGGAAGCCTCCCAGTTGGCTTCAGTGCAAAGGAAGCCTCCCATTGGCTTCAGTGCAAAGGAAGCCTCCCATTGGCTTCAGTGCAAAGGAAGCCTCCCATTGGCTTCAGTGCAAAGGAAGCCTCCCATTGGCTTCAGTGCAAAGGAAGCCTCCCATTGGCTACAGTGCAAAGGAAGCCTCCCATTGGCTACAGTGCAAAGGAAGCCTCCCATTGGCTACAGTGCAAAGGAAGCCTCCCATTGGCTACAGTGCAAAGGAAGCCTCCCATTGGCTTCAAAGCAAAAAACCCGCCTCCCATTGGCCTCAGTGCAAATCTCCTGTCAATACCAATCCTATGTGAACACTTATCTCCACATGCCTCTCTACTCTTATCACTTGCGAGCCTGGAACGCACCAATACAATCTTGCGGAGGACCATTTTTGTAATGGCTCTCAAAACATAATGCGTGTGGATCAGATCTGTGTGAACCACCTCAATAGGCACACATAATATTTAGCCTTTCATGCAAATTTGTGAGTTTAAAAAACGCATCCAGAATGGCATATGTGTGAACCAGGGCGGCTCCATTCACATCTGTGCATTATGGGATTGCGGGCAGAATCACTGAGATTCTGCCCGCGATCGCAAAACGCAGTTCAGGTGCCATTATTTTCACTGGCACGTGCTGCGGTTTTGTGGCAATTGTCACGCAGCAAATCGTATCACATGAAGATTGTCGGCCAAAAGGAGGCGCTGTTCCTGTTTGGGTGGCAAGATTCACGCAATGCGAATTGCCGCGCAGTAAATCGCACAACAATCGTGACAAAACGCATCCCTTGAAGATTGTTGCCCAAAAGAAGCTCTTGCTCCTCTTTGGTCAACAAGCTTCATGTGATGCGATTTGCCGCGATCGTCTGGAGCTGGAGACAGGCAGGGAGGTGAAGAGGAGATAAAACCGCGCAATGTCAAAGATATTAAAAGTTATAATCGCCATAAAGCCCCTTTTGTTTTTAAAAGCCCCAGACATTGCTGAAAGCTCCTACGGTTTTGGTTATAATGATTTAGGTGAATGTAGCCTAATTCATAGCCTTGCCTTGTGATGAGGAGCAGTAAAGCACAACCACTCTGTTGCAGAGTGAAGCAGGGACTGAGTATGTTAGAAGTAAATATGGCTCCCTCCATGTACATCTAGAATTACAGATTATTAGGTCTGTTTATGAAGCCGAGGATGGTGCTTTCACTGAACATTCTCTGGTGGAGATAAAATCATTCTCAAAACCCCTTCACGCATAAGGGTAAAACAAATCTTAATGCCTAAGTAAAATTTTACAACTTTGACGTGTTAGTAAAAGCGTACATATCATCACAACTACTTTGTACATCCAGGTGAATTATACCGCATTTTTTTTTTTTCAGGACAAATTGGGCTTTCATTTGGTGGTAAATGGTAATGAATATCTCCTGATTTTTTTTTTTATTATTATCAAAGGAAAACTGGCCCAAAATAGTAAAAAAAAAAAAAAAAAATTTTTTAATTTAGCTGTGTTTCCTGTTATTACCATAACTACCACCAAAGAACAACTCAAAATAAATTTCTTAGATCTTGACTATCGCAGCGATACCATATATGTGTGTTATTTGTTGTTTGTACCCATACTACAGAAACAATATGGTGCATTTTGTTTTGTTTTTTTACCTAAAACACACTGACACTGATACCAATTTAAAAAAAAAAAAATCCCGACTTTTGACCTTTGACCCATACACTAACCCTGATACTGAACTAGATCAAACCTTGATCTAGGTATTTTTTCTTTATTTTTTAATTATCTTTTTTTTTTTAACAATTTTTTTTTCTCTCTCTGCAAGGAGAGAAATAGATACAATGTATCTCTCTCCTCCATTCAGAGAGAAAAAAAAACAAGAGGGGGTGGGCTTCACAGTGACTGATCATTCATAGCCAATCAAAGGCTATCACAGCAATCGTGACCCAAAATCGGGAGTCTCGGTCCCGATCGTTACATCGAGACCCGGGCTTTCAGTGACACCCCGGTCTACAGCACGCTGTATGGCACGTTCCCAGCACAAAGACAGGTACGCAAATATGTATCCCCACGGAAAATAGCCCAGGTCGGTCAGGCTGCATATTTGTGTTATGTCGGCATGAACGGGTTAAACACATGGACTTGGAAGAGTCTCCAACAGAGAATGTTTGGTGAAAGTCACATTCACCGCTTTATAGGTAGGCCTCTTTATTTGGTAACGGGGTTTCTAAAAGCCTTAACGTGTTTATGAAGTGAAAGCATTGTGTGTTCTTCCTGTACAGGAATAGCGGAGAGCGTCCGGAGCAGCTGGAGTGGCTCTGATCGGCAAGCGGACATCGTACATTACGTCAGCGAAGAACGCGGCCTGGCTCTGCAGCTGTGCGGCTGGAGGAAGAAGGGTGCAGACTCCAACATTGGCCCTTTCCTGACCTCCTTAGAACAGGAAGAAGAATGGGAAAGGGCAGCTGCTATTGCCTTGTTTAACCTGGATATCCGACGTGCCATACAGATACTGAATAAAGGGGCAACCTCGGGGAAGGGTAGGTGGTGCTACTTTCTTTTCCTCCTGCTTTCATTTCCTCGAATTACCTGTTGGGACCAGGGATTGAGTCAGAATAATGACTTCTGTCCTTTGTGTATAGCTTCTTTCAACAATTGCACTGTACTGTTGCACTGGATAGCCTGTAGTGCTCTGGGAGTCCTTAGTCATGCAACAAATATTTGTTGAATACAAAAAAAAGTTTAAAAAACTGTAAAATTGACCCAAACTATTGGTTTTATGTTTACCAGAGCCTGCAATTCATATGCAGAAAGAAAAGTGTCACCTACACACCAAGGAATCCTCAAGCAGGACCTGAGGATTGGTTTATATAGTGGTCACATAATATCAACAGCGGTTCGGAGCCACGCAGGGCCCCTTGCGTTACGAAGGGGCCCTGCGTGCCTCCGAAATGTTGCCTCTGTTGATATTATGTGACTACTAAATAAAGCTTCGGAATGTTTTGAGGATGCCTTGGTGTGCTGGTGACACTTTTCTTTCTGCATATGAATGGCAGGCTCAGGTAAACATAAAACCAATAGTTTGGGTCAATTTTACAGTTTTTGAAACTTTTTTTTTTTTTTTATTCAACAACAAAATCAATTGTTCTCTGTGTGTCCTGTTCACACCACAACACTGGTATCATACAGATTTTTTCAGCGCAGGAATTTGCAACTTGTATAAAACTTGCTAAAGTCATAATGTAATATTAAACCTTTTTTTTTCTTCTTAATAAAATAATAAACAAGTTATACTCACCTGCTCTGTGCAGTGCTCTTGCACACAGCAACCCCAATCCTCCTGTTCTGGTGTCTCCTGCTGGCACTCCTGGCTCCTCCTCTTCTGCAAGTGCCACCATAGGCAGCTGATTCCCATGGGGGCACTCATGCGGACTCGCCCCCAAGCCGCCCTGTCTGCATCTATTGACCGAGACAGGGCGGCTCTGCTCTATAACACCTCCCCCAAACCCCCCCCCATGTCCATGTCACAGAGTTTGACAGCAGCAGTAGCCAATGGCTTCCATTGCTATCAATCTGCCGTATGAGGAGGGACAGAGCGGGGAGAGCTGCTGCTCTCATGCACAGCGCTGGATCGAGATAAGGGTGGTGACACAGGATGCATTATGGTAAAAAAAAAAAAAAACCTTTTAGTCTTTAGGTTCCATTAACACCTATGCAGGTTGCTTTTTGTTTGTTTGTTTTACAGTGCTTCTTCGCAGTTCGTTTTGCATTTTTCTACATGTGTTTTTACTGCTTTTTGCGGGTTTTTTTTTCTTTTTTTTACTTTTTTTTTTTTTTTTTAAGTGGCATTTTTTTTAAGCTGGGCAGAATAAAAATGCAAAAGCGCACTACCATGCATCTCAGCAGCTTCTCTATTGAACTCTATTGTAACAAAAAAACGCTGCTTTTTGCTTTTAAAAAAGTCCCTGACCCTTTCCAAAAATGCAGCAGCTCAAAATGCATAGCGGGGAACATGTTCCATAGGAAACCATGTTAAATGGACTGTAGTGAGTTTCTGCAAAAAGCACTAAGAGCCTTAGAACCACTTTAAAGGGTTCGTTCACCTTTTCAGAAAAAATGCAAAGGTGAACGAACACCATACACTCTCCCCACCCAACCCCCAGTCCGGATTGAAATACTCAATGCTCTTTCCCCTCTTCTCTGTGCATTGCGTCTGGGATGGACCAGAGTGATTCACTGTGCACACGCTGACCAATCAGAATCACTCTGGTCTGTCCTGGAAGCTCTGCACAAAGAAGAGGGGGAAGAGTTGAAAAATTCAAGTCCCCGGACCGCTGGACCAGCTGCGTGGATACTGACAGCTCAGAATCTCCGGAGGGAAGTCCATCGGGGACTGGGGAGGGTGTAAAGTGTGTTCAAATCTTATTGACAAAAACGCAATAAAAAACATTATTAATAATAATATAAAGGCTAAGCCTTCTTTTCCTATCATGCCTTGCAGCAGATTTCTCATGAGTGAAAAGTTTTCTTGTCTTACATATTCACAGGTGACCTGAACCTGAACGTGGTGGCGATGGCGTTGTCCGGCTACACAGATGAGAAGAATTCGCTATGGCGTGAGATGTGTAGCTCTCTTCGGGTGCAGCTCAGGAACCCATACCTGGCAGTTATGTTTGCATTTCTCACCAGTGATCCTGGCTGCTACGACACTGTTCTGGTATGATGGACCGTTGTGATTTGTCTATTCCAATTATTTGAGGAAAAGGGAGAGCTCACCTTATTTCCTAGCTGGAGGATATCCAGCATCAGCTAGCTCTTTCCTCCTCAGCCTGACTGTCCATAGCCCCACCTCTTTCACTGGATCTCATTTCTTTCATTGTTAGAGACTCAGCATCATGTGTGTGTTACCTAGGGGGGTCTGTATGCACATGAAGTCTGAGTACTCCTCCAGACTGACCTCCGCCCATCATCGAACAGGCTTTTGTCAATCAGCTGACAGTGGAGAGTCAAAATACAATGTCTCAGTGGGGATGATCCACCTTGATTGTTTGATTTTTTTTTTTTTGCGGGACAAAAGAAAACAATCTGTCTATAGCCAGCTTAAGATAGGGTTCTGTGGCATTTTCGGGAAACTGTGTGCAGCACCCTGCTGGCCTCTCCCACCAGCCACGATCTGCCTGCATTTCTTAGAGAAGCACAGGAACCCAGTAAAATAGTCACTAGATATATTATAAGGTATTTAATAAAAATGTAATAACACGTTTCACTGGTATGAGAGGGAGAAAGGAGGAACCAGGGGAGGCAAATCTTCCCCGTACGTATGCCCCTGCTAACAAGAATGTCAGTTGGGTGACTCTATTGCAGCAGAGTTATGCAGGAGATCCTTCCATATACCTCCATGGAATCGCTGCCTCTCTGGCCTTGAATGCTGCCGAATTTCTGTAGCTGGCAGCAAGGGAGAGTATCCATAGGCAGGAAGTATCGGGTGGTTTGTCCCCAGTACCAAGATCACCTGTGGGAAACGGCCCTAAATCTTTCTTTATCTTTTCTTATTTCTCTAAATCTTCCCAGTGAAACGTGGCCTCATGTGTCTGTCTCCTTTCAGTTTGAGTGCACCATGGCAGTCAGGGATCGGGTGGCCTTTGCTTGTTTGTTCCTAAATGACACTCAGGTGAGTCCATGTTTGTTTGTTTTTTTTAAATTAAAGTTTATTGTTTTATAAGAAATGGAAATAAAGTGTTAATAAATAAACATGAAGATCAGCAATTTCCTGTGAAGATCTACTGTACTCGGCATTCAAAAACTAAGAAGCATTCAGTACACTTACCAGCCACTTTATTAGGTACACCAAGAAAATTCTCCCCCACACCATTCCACCACCACCAGCCTGAACTGCTGATACAAGGCAGGATGGATCCATGCTTTCATGTTTACACCAAATTCTGACCCCACCATCTGAATGTCGCAGCAACCAGTCTGCCCATTCTCCTCTGATCTCTGACATCAACCAAGCATTTTCTTCCACACAACTGCCGCTCACATGTTATTTTCTCTTGTTCGGACCATTCTCTGTAAACCCTAGAGATGGTTGTGTGTGAAAATCCCAGTAGATCAGCAGTTTTTGAAATACTCAGACCACCTGTCTGGCACCAACAACCATGCCATGTTCAAAGTCACTTAAATCCTCTTGCTTCCCTATTCTTATACTCGGTTTGAACTTCAGCAAGTCATCTTCACCATGACTAGATGCCTAAATGTATTGAGTTGCTGCCATGTGATTGACTGATTAGCAATTTGTGTTACCAACCTACCCCGGAAGGGCCACCCTAGCATATTTTTTGGATATTACAAAGAGGTCTTTTAAGATAGAACTATAGGCAAAACATTTTCTTTCATTTTGGATAGAGTAATTGCGGGTTATAACCCCTGTCAGATTTTTATTTTTTTTTCACCATCTGTGCCCCATTGGGTAGATTTCCATTCACTTCCTGTCCCATAGCCAAAGAGGAAGTGAGAAGAAATTTCTACGAATTAGGAGAACTCCCTAGGTCACCGGAATTATGCAGGCCATAGATGGGTCGAAAATCGGAAGAAGGAGAAGGAGATTTTAACCGTTGGTGGTAACGTCGACCTATTGAACGACCGATTTTTTTTTTTTTTTTTTTTTTTTTAAAAAAAAACGGACGGTTTTCGACCCATCTATGGCCTGCATTAGTGTCCCCAATGGAAGGGGACAACAAAAAAATTTGGGATTTTCTTTTACTCTCACTTTCAATGAAGATGGCAAACAGGACAAATAGGGTGAATCTTAAGAGAATTTTAGGTTTATTTTTTTTTTTCGTCCCCATTATACTTACCTAGGTGGACAAAGCATCAGTCCAATGCTTCATCTGTCCCCCGCTGGCTCGAAGGCTAAGAACTCAGCGATCACATGACTGCTGATCGCTGAGTTCTCCTCTCCGCCCTGAGTAGAGAGTAGTGACTCTCAGTCACCACTGCCTGCTCAGCCCCCAGCAGTGCTCACTGGAGCGCTGGACTGTGAAGGGGAAGGGAGCAGCTTGCTCAGACTCTCAGCACTTTGCTGAGAGGCTGAGCTAGGTGCCGCTCCTGATTCTGGGGTGGATCCTAACTGTGAAGTTGGCTTGGATCGGCTGAGAGATGTCAGCCAACAGCAGACTTCAGTCCGCTGAAAACGGGTCACAGGAGTGCAGAATGAATTGCACTTCTGTGATCCACATGAAAAATACAGACAAAAGAGCTTTGGCTGTAGTTTTCCTTTAACTGTGACACAGACGGCAATAAAAACTGACAGGTGTTCTAATCCGTCTCCACACTTTTACCAAAATGTAAAAAAAAAAAAAATTTACTTATACTTTAAGCCTTTCACATGACTACTGAGTGTCTTCTTTCTTGCCTCTTCTCTGAGCTGGGTGGTTCTTACTGAGTCTGTTTGTTTGTTTTTTTTAATTAAATTAAAGTTTTACTTTTTAAGAAATGGAAATAAAGTGTTAATAAATAAACATGAAGATCAGCAATTTCTTGTGAAGATCTGCTGTGCTCGGCATTCAAAAACTAAGAAGCATTCAGTACACTGTACACTTACCAGCCACTTTATTAGGTACACACAAGAAAATCTCCCCCACACCATTACACCACCAGCCTGAACCGCTGATACAAGGCAGGATGGATCCATGCTTTCATGTTGTTTACAACAAATTCTGACTCTACCATCTGAATGTCCCCCTTCTCTGCACCAGTAACTGTAAATGAAGGACACCAAGATGATACGCCCTCAGAGGGCAGGGCCATGACACCTGGCATTTACAATGTGTCATTCAATTTGAAATACATTTTGTGCCAAAAAGAGATACGTGATCCTAGGAGACATTTATAACAATAAAAAATTTTTTTTCCTAAAGTTGGACTTAAAATTGTGATCAAAAATCTGTCTTAATTTGCTTATGTCTGGGTTTGGGCTTTGCTGTATTAAAGATGAGGGCAGATTTGAAAAATGTTAAAAGTCAGACACATGAATACCCCTTAGTATGAGTTTTTTTTTTTTTTTTTGCAGTTAATGAAATACATTGATAAGTTGACTCAGGATATGAAGGATACGGGAAACCTGGAAGGGATTGTGTTGACTGGATTAACAAAGGACGGAGTGGACTTGATGGAAAGTTATGTTGATAGAACGGGTGATGTACAGACTGCCAGTTACTGTATGTTACAGGTGAGTCCCTGCAGGAATTGGCTGCTCAGGCTGCACTCATCACTCTGCCAGCTATTCAGGATTATGGGTGGACTTGGATTGTAGTAATTGTTTTTAGCAACAGTTATGAGCTGATAGCTTCATCTATACAGCCCTCAGCCTACAGCCTTAGAATCGCTTTACAGTGATACTAAAGTCATGTTTGTTTTTTTTTCTTAACCTCTTGGCGCCGGCCGCACTCAAATGTGCGCCCTTCCGGCGTCTGGGCATTGACACCGAGCAGCCGCACATTTGTGTGCAATGAAGAAAAACATATGTGCTTGCCCTGCGCGCTCCCAGCACACATATCCAGTACCGATCTCCTCTTTCGATCTGGACCTTTCCCGATCATGTGACCGCGAATCACGGGAGTCACATGACCCTAAAACCCCGCCCCGCCTCCTGGCTTCTGAAACCCTTAATTTTAACTCCTTGGCATCGGCGCCTCCTGGCCCTTTAACAAACATGCTATACTTACCTACTGTGTGCAGTGGTTTTGCATATAGCAGCTGGGTCTTCCTTTTCTCGGGTCCCCTGTCGGAGCTCCTTGCCCCTCCCTCCTGTTGGGTGCCCCCATAGCAAAGAGCTTGCTATGGGGGCACCCAAGCAGGCGTGCTCTCGAGCCGTATCTCTGCGTGCCCATTCATACGCAGAGCCGTGGCTCGGCCCAGCTCCCTCCCTCTCCTGATTGGCCCATTGACTGTAATTGACTGCAGCGGGAGATAATAGCTGTGTCTGCTGCCTCCGCCAATCAGGAATGAGAGTCCCTGAAGAACCAAGGCTCTCGTGGACATCGCTGGATCAGGGCTCAAGTAAGTGTTTGGGGGGTGCTGCACACAGAAGGTTTTTTACCTTTGTGCATAGAAAGCATGAAGGTAAAAAACCTTCAGCCGTTAGAATCACTTTAACAACTTTTTGCTATGTGATACTGTGCTACTTTAACGGACAATTGCTCGGTCATGCAACACTGTACCCAGATTAAACTTATATCATTTTTCACAAATAGAGCTTTCTTTTGGTGGGGTTTGATCACCACTGTTTTTTTTTTTTTTTTTGTTTTTTTTTTTTTTTACTATATAAATGAAAAAAGATTAAACATTTAAGAATTTTTTTTTATTTCTGTTATAAAATATATTCAATAAAAAAATTTGAAAAATCAAATTTCTTCATAAATTTAATCCAAAATGTATTCTGCTACATGTCTTTGGTTAAGAAAAATCCTGATAAGTGCATGTTAATTGGTTTGCATGAAAGTTATAGCTTCTACAAATTATGATATACTAGAATTTTTATATATTTTTTTTTAACACTAGTAATGGCGGTGATCAGCGACTTATAGTGGGGCTGTGGTAGTGTGGCAGGCAATCTGATACTGACCAAAACTGAGTGGGAACTGACTGACACTGACAACACCAGTGACACGAACAGTGATCAGTGCTAATAATATGCACTGTCACAGTACTAATGACACTGTTTGGGAAGGGGTTACCATCCGGGGCAATCAAGGGGTTAATTGTGTGCCTAGCAAGCGTTAATGAGTTTACTATGTGCTGCTTTTTACTACACATCGCTTTGTTTATTTTCCCTGCTTTGTAGGGAAAAGAAATAAAGCGATCTGTCCTTGTGTATGCAGCTGCATTTTTATCAACAGGGAGCTGTAGGCTGTGACCTGACACAGCCAATCAGCGGGTCCCAGCCAGGATCTGTTGATCGACTCCTGCTGTGTCAAATCACAGGGAGTAGTCAGGCAGGAGCATGTTCGCCCGCTCTTCCAGCCCGGAAACAGGCAATGACGTACAGGTACGTGATTGTGCCTGTAGCTGCCGCTGACCTGCCGTAAATGTACAGGAGGTGGTCAGTAAGTGCTTAAAGTTTAAAAATAAATAAATAAAGCGGGGGAAAAAAGGAAACCATTTTTACCTTGGAGTTACTGACTTCTTCCTGTAGGCACTGGTGATGGCCTTGGTGCATACAGGAAGTTGCTGGGTTTTTGCTTTTCTTCATCAGATTGAATTTTTATTTATTTTTTTAGTTTTTTCATTTGGGGGGGGGAGGGGAAATGTCACATTTTATTGCATGGGACACTTTTTAAAGAGACTTATTTTTTTTTTAGGAGCAGCAACACTTGCCATCACATCCTTTGCATCAACATGGAGCTTGTAGGTGGAGCTTTATTTTACTCTTGTATTTTACTTGGTGCTACAGAGGACTGTCAAAATGACAAAAATAATGACATTCGCAGCTGTATTTGTTAAAGTCCTCTCTCCTGGACCGTAGGACAAATCTGTGTATTGCATAATGTGTAACATTTTAAACATCAACATGATCTGGGCTGTCTGGTCTAAGGCTTTGAGTATACAAATGCACATTGGTCTTTTTGTTGTTCAGGGTTCTCCTGAGGTGCTGAAAGACGAGAGAGTCCAGTACTGGATAGAAAGCTACAGGAACCTTCTAGACGCCTGGAGGTTTTGGCATAAGAGAGCCGAGTTTGACATCCATCGCAGCAAACTGGATCCCAGCTCAAAGCCTTTAGCACAGGTGAGGCTGTCTGTAAGGGGGATGATGTTCTAGTGTAGCCTTTCTCAACCAGGGTGCCTTCAGGCTTCTTCAGGGGTGCCTTCAGGCTTCTTCAGGGGGGCCTTCAGACTTCTTCAGGAGTGCCTTGCCAAAATGCCAAAAAATTGTATACAAGCTAGCAAGATGGATCAATCCTGACTTTTAGTACACAAAGCCATAGGTTTTCATTGTGCACTTTTATGACCTTCTAGCTGCCAGCATCCTAACCAATGACATCATCAGTCGATAAGGAGTAGGTCGGGTGCAATCACATCATCCTTGATTTGCCCTGCCCTGCCCCTCTCTGTCAGCACTGGGGTCATATTAGCAGAGTGAAGGAGAGAAACACTGGAATACTAGTCAGTGCCGGTGTGCAAAGGTGTATTTGCTTTGGAAGAATAAATCAACTCTAACATTGGGTATACTGGATGTGTGTGGAGTAGTTTTTTACATTTTAGATTGGGTTGCCTTGAGATTGTGTATAATTTTAAAAGATGCCTTGAGATGATCCATAAATTTAAAGGGTGCCTTGAGATGATCCATAAATTTAAAAGGTGCCTTGAGATGATCCATAAATTTAAAGGGTGCCTTGAGATGATCCATAAATTTAAAGGGTGCCTTGAGATGATCCATAAATTTAAAGGGTGCCTTGAGATGATCCATAAATTTAAAGGGTGCCTTGAGATGATCCATAAATTTAAAGGGTGCCTTGAGATGATCCATGAATTTAAAGGGTGCCTTGAGATGATCCATGAATTTAAAGGGTGCCTTGAGATGATCCATGAATTTAAAGGGTGCCTTGAGATGATCCATGAATTTAAAGGGTGTCTTGACTGAAAAAAGGATGAGAAACACTGTTCTAGTGGGGCATTACAGCTGCTCAGACATCATGTGAATACCCATGCAGATGTCCAGTGCAGCTACTACACAAATGCTGAGAGAAAATAGCAGTGTCATGTAATGTTGAATAGTACAAAGCTGTGCCGCTAGGTAAAGGGTTTGGTGCGCACATATCCTTGTATTCATTCACGGGTTTAGTTGTCAGCTCCCCATCAACAGAGAAATCCCTTCCTCTGTACAGAGGTCTGTGTTGATTATCAACACAGAGCTCTGGGCCGTGATCGTATGGAGCCAATTTGCAAGTCACGACCGTGAATCATTAGCCGGGACTTGCTGACAGGCTTCTGCTGTGTACAATTACAGCGGGTGGATGTGGGACGGGCGTGCACTCTGAACCCGGAAGCAGGCAGCAATGTACAGGTGTCACTTTGCCTGTGCAGGCGACCCGTCATTGTCGGCGAGCAGTCCGCAAGTGGTTATTAGACGTAGCAGTCAACAGAGGAGAGCTAATGTGTTACAAAAGTTACGATTTGCAAAAGTCCTCCAGCAGGGCTGAGAAGTTTTGGTTGAAAATCTTGACTGCTTCAACCACTGGCCCTCTGAAAGATTTACCCCCCTTCGTGACCAGGCCATTTTTTTTTGCTTTTTGGCACTGCATTAACTGACAGTTGCGCAGTCATGCAACACTGTACACAGACGAAATTTATATCTTTTTTACTTTCTGCTATAAAACCTTTCCAATAAAAAAAAAAATCTAATTTGTTTATAAATTTAGACCAATGTGTATTCTATATATTTTTGTTAAAAAAATAACCCAATAAGTGTATATTTATTGATTTACGCAAACGTTATAGTGTCTACAAACTAAGGTTTTCATACCGGCGACGATCAGCAACTTATAGTGGGACTGCAATATTGTGGCGGACAATCTGACATCTTAAGGGACCCATTGACACTAATACAGTGATCAGTGCTAAAAATTTACACGGTTACTGTACTAATGACACTGGCTGGGAAGGCGTTAAACATCTAGGGCGATCAATGAGTTAAATGTTTGCCTAACCAGTGTTTCTGTGTATACTGTGTGGTGCTTTCACTGAGGGATGTGCTGGTTTTTATCCCCAGCTTTGCAGGGAAACAAAATCCAGCACATCCCTACTGACAGGACACAGCTCTGTCTTGTTTACATTGGCAGATCTCTGTTCTGTCTTTCTCCTTGCCAATCAGTGGGTGCTGGCAGTCATCCATCACAGCACAGCTGGGTCGAAGGCAGTGCCAAATACGCGTACCCCACCTGGAAGTGCCAAATCACGTACCCCACCTGGAAGTGCCAAATCACGTACCCCACCTGGAAGTGCCAAATCACGTACCCCACCTGGAAGTGCCAAATCACGTACCCCACCTGGAAGTGCCAAATCACGCACTAGGTACATGATCCGGCGCAGGAGAGCCACTCTACTGCCGTATAACTAGGTTATGCAATCAGCAAGTGGTTAAGTGCTATTGGTTATTAGTGAAACATTTCTATTCCTCCTACGAAGGGGGACTTTTGTAGCCACTGAAATGCATTGATTTTTTTTTTTTTTTTTTTTTTGACTATTTTAGATTATGACGACAATTCTGAACACTTGCTTGTGGGTTTGGCTCATCTGTCATTTCTTGTTCATAAATGGAATGTTGAAAGACTATGGGCGTTAGTTACTAAAGCTGGAGAGTATAAAATCTGGTGCAAATCCGCTTAGAAACCAATCACCTTCCAGGTTGTATTGCCAAAGCTTAACTGAACATGCTGAAGTTAGAAGCTGATTGGCTCCCATGTACAGCTGCACCAGATTCTCCAGTTTTAGTGTATCTCTCCATGTGCAAAGTAAATCTCTCAGCTGAAGACAGTCATGATGTGTAATAATATATATATATAATAATAAATACTGTATAATAATAATAATGTTTGGGACAACAGGAAGTACATGTGTGTCTCTTTTAGTCCTCATTCACACCATGGTGCAGCGACATCAGTTTTTCTGCACGTGTTCTGTAAGGCACAAAAAAAAGTGTTTCGCCGTGTCCTGTTCACACACACAACACTGGTATCATGTGCGTATTTTTTCTGCGCAGGAATCTGCAATGTGTATAAAACGCACTGCAGCTCGCATAAAAAACTGATGTCTCTGCAAATTAAATCTCCGCATCAGTTTTCATGCACGTATGGTGTGAATGAGCCCTTGGGGAAAAAAAAAAAAAAATTGCCGCTAGGGCAACAGAGTGTTTCTAACCCTCATTACACTTCTGTGCTTTTCATGCCCTGGACACAGTTCAGCTTTTTTATCAACTGAATTTGAACACCAGCCATAAACTGACGTGCCACCAAACCTCTGGCATGATGCTGTTCAGAAAAAGTGACACACAGAGAAGACATGACTCTGGTTTATATATACAACTCCAGATAAAAAAACCTATCATACACTGGCCATGCATGTAGACACTAGTTATATCTGTATGTCTTTGATCTCATCTTCCAGGTATTTGTGAGCTGTAACTTCTGCGGAAAGTCCATCTCTTATAGCTGCTCCTCAGTCCCCCACCAGGGCCGAGGGCTCAGCCAGTATGGAGTCAGCGGGTCACCCACCAAATCCAAGTTCACCAGCTGCCCCGGGTGCCGCAAGCCTCTCCCCCCCGCTGTGCTTTGTGCCCTTATAAACATGGGGAATCCAGTGTCCAGCAGCCCAGGTGAGGATCTGTCAATCTCTTGTATATCCAGCATTTCTGGTACTGACACTTGTCACTAGGAGGTCCTATACCAGGACATTCCTGTTACTGGTGAGAGTGCTGGTTGTAAGCTGGAATTGGGCTTCAAACTGATGCTGTTTCGTCAGCAATCCTGAAAGAGGATCTGTGTATTTCAAATGAGCACCCAGTTGTCTGTGTGACCAGCCAAGACTACACACACACAGAGGGAACTGTATGATGGGGATATTATATTAGAATTCTGAATTGTGGAATTGTACTGAGCAGCTTGTGCTATTTATCTGAAAATAACTTGTCCAAGGGACTAAGTTGGGTCCCAATCTACCTCTCCCTCGTGACAATCTACTTGTCCTGATAAGGAAAAAATAATTGTGTTACTTAACTGCCTGCAGAGAAACTCAGACAGAGCTGTGTACATCTCAGAGTATGACTGACACAAATACAAATATTTCAACATGTAAAAAGGCATATGTATGTATGTATGTATGTATATATTTTATATTCTAATATAAATGCCCCTAATGAGATGACGGATGGTGTCCTGGGGTATTTCCTCCCAGATCTGGAGCAGGGCATCACTGAGCTCCTGGACAGTCTGAGGTGCAACCTGGTGGCGTCGGATGGACCGAAACATGACATCCCAGAGGTGTTCTATTGGATTTAGGTCAGGCGAGCATGGGGGCCATTCAATGGTATCAATTCCTTCATCCTCCAGGAACTGCCTGCATACTCTCACCACATGAGGCCGAGCATTTTCGTGCACCAGGAGGAACCCAGGACCCACTGCACCAGTGTAGGGTCTGACAACGGGTCCAAGGATTTCATCCCGATACCTAATGGCAGTCTGGGTGCCATTGTCTAGCCTGTAGAGGTCTGTGCGTCCCTCCATGGATATGCCTCCCCAGACCATCACTGACCCACCACCAAAACAGTCATACTGAACGATGTTACAGGCAGCATAACGTTCTCCACGGCTTCTCCAGACCCTTTCACGTCTGTCACATGTGCTCAGGGGGAACCTGCTCTCATCTGTGAAAAGCACAGGGCGCCAGTGACTGACCTGCCAATTCTGGTGTTCAATGGCAAATGCCAATCCAGCTCTATGGTGCCGGGCAATGAGCACAGGGCCCACTAGAGGACGTCAGGCCCTCATGCCACCCTCATGAAATCTGCTTCTGATTGTTTGGTCCAGAGACATTCACACCAGTGGCCTGCTGGATGTCATTTTGTAGGGCTCTGGCAGTGCTCATCCTGTTCCTCGTTGCACAAAGGAGCAGATACCAGTCCTGCTGATGGGTTAAGGACCTTCTACAGTCCTGTCCAGCTCTCCTAGAGTAATTGAGTAATTGAGACTGTGATGGGAGACACAGCAAACCTTCTGGCAATGGCAGGTATTGAAGGGCCATCCTGGAGGAGTTGGACTGCCTGTGCAACCTCTGTAGGGTCCAGGTATGGCCTCATGCTATCAGTAGTGACAATGACCCTAGCCAAATGCAAGACTAGTGAAAAACTGTCAGAAAAGCTGAGTAGGGAAAAAAATGCCAGTAACCTCCACCTGTAAAACCATTCTGTTTTGGGGGTCGTCTCATTGATGCCCATCTAGTGCACATGTTGTTAATTTCATTAATGCCAAAGCAGCTGAAACTGATTAACAACCCCCTCTGCTACTTACCTGACCAGATCAATATCCCAGGAGTTTCATTGACTATGCTATACTTGAAGTGTTTCTTTAATTTTTTTTTTGAGCCGTGTATATGTATGTATGTGTATGTGTATATATATATGTGTGTGCGTGTGTGTGTGTGTATATATATGTATGTGTGTGTGTGTGTGTGTGTGTGTGTGTGTGTGTGTGTGTGTGTGTGTGTGTATATATATATATATATATGTGTATGTGTGTGTGTGTGTATATATATATATATATATGTGTGTGTGTGTGTATATATATGTATGTGTGTGTGTATGTATGTATGTATGTATGTATATATATATATGTGTATATATATATATATACATACACACACACACATATATACAGTCAGGTCCATAAATATTGGGACATCGCCCCCTATGCTAACATTTTTGGCTCTATACACCACCACAATGAATTGGAAATGAAACGAACAAAGATGTGCTTTAACTGCGGACTGTCAGCTTTAATTTGAGGGTATTTTACATCCAAATCAGGTGAACGGTGTAGGAATTACAACAGTTTGCATATATGCCTCCCACTTGTTAAGGGACCAAAAGTAATGGGACAATTGGCTTCTCAGCTGTTCCATGGCCAGGTGTGTGTTATTCCCTCATTATCCCAATTACAATGAGCAGATAAAAGGTCCAGAGTTCATTTCAAGTGTGCTATTTGCATTTGGAATCTGTTGCTGTCAACTCTCAAGATGAGATCCAAAGAGCTGTCACTATCAGTGAAGCAAGCCATCATTAGGCTGAAAAAAAAAAACAAACCCATCAGAGAGATACCAAAAACATTAGGCGTGGCCAAAACAACTGTTTGGAACATTCTTAAAAAGAAGGAACGCACCGGTGAGCTCAGCAACACCAAAAGACCCGGAAGACCACAGAAAACAACTGTGGTGGATGACCGAAGAATTCTTTCCCTGGTGAAGAAAACACCCTTCACAACAGTTGGCCAGATCAAGAACACTCTCCAGGAGGTAGGTGTATGTGTGTCAAAGTCAACAATCAAGAGAAGACTTCACCAGAGTGAATACAGAGGGTTCACCACAAGATGGAAAACCATTGGTGAGCCTCAAAAACAGGAAGGCCAGATTAGAGTTTGCCAAACGACATCTAAAAAAAGCCTTCACAGTTCTGGAACAACATCCTATGGACAGATGAGACCGAGATCAAACTTGTACCAGAGTGATGGGAAGAGAAGAGTATGGAGAAGGAAAGGAACTGCTCATGATCCTAAGCATACCACCTCGTCAGTGAAGCATGGTGGTGGTAGTGTCATGGCGTGGGCATGTATGGCTGCCAATGGAACTGGTTCTCTTGTATTTATTGATGATGTGACTGCTGACGGAAGCAGCCGGATGAATTCTGAAGTGTTTCGGGAATATTATCTGCTCATATGCAGCCAAATGCTTCACAACTCATTGGACGCTTCACAGTGCAGATGGACAATGACCCAAAGCAGACTGCAAAAGCAACCAAAGAGTTTTTTAAGGGAAAGAAGTGGAATGTTATGCAATGGCCAAGTCAATCACCTGACCTGAATCCGATTGAGCATGCATTTCACTTGCTGAAGACAAAACTGAAGGGAAAATGCCCCAAGAACAAGCAGGAACTGAAGACAGTTGCAGTAGAGGCCTGGCAGAGCATCACCAGGGATGAAACCCAGCGTCTGGTGATGTCTATGCGTTCCAGACTTCAGGCTGTAATTGACTGCAAAGGATTTGCAACCAAGTATTAAAAAGTGAAAGTTTGATTTATGATTATTATTCTGTCCCATTACTTTTGGTCCCTTAACAAGTGGGAGGCACATATGCAAACTGTTGTAATTCCTACACCGTTCACCTGATTTGGATGTAAATACCCTCAAATTAAAGCTGACAGTCTGCAGTTAAAGCACATCTTGTTTGTTTCATTTCAAATCCATTGTGGTGGTGTATAGAGCCAAAAATGTTAGAATTGTGTTGATGTCCCAATATTTATGGACCTGACTGTATATATACACACACACACACACATATATATACAGTATACACACACACACGTATGTGTGTGTGTATGTATGTATGTGTGTATATATATTTGTGTGTATTTAGCTGTTTACTCGGAGTTCAGCTCTATTTAACAGACGTGTTTTCTGTCTAGGAGTGTCTAAGTCTGATGAGAAGGTAGACCTCAGCAAGGAGAAGAAAGTTGCGCAGTTCAATAACTGGTTCACCTGGTGTCACAACTGTCGGCATGGTGGCCACGCTGGCCACATGATGAGCTGGTTCAGGTGAGGATGTGGGCTCCCCGTGCAGAGCTTGTCATTTTTTTTTTTTTTTTTTTTTTTTTTTTTAAGACATTTTTCTGAAATAAGACTCGGAGCTATTCCAGGTGCCTGTAATATGTTGGACACGTGTGGTATAACAAAGTTTCCCCTGTGCTGTTTTGAGGAATCCATGCGTGGTACCAGCCCTGATCTGCTTGCCTTGCTTAGAGTAGCACAGAGAACTAGTGATGACATCGCTGGGTCTAAAATCGGAAAGCATAATATCTTTCAATGGCTATAGAGAAATTGTATGAAAATGATGAACATTACATGGATGTAAACCCAATCACTACGGATCTTATATAAGCTTTTATGTTTATGGCATCAAAAAAAAAAATGCAGTCCTTTTTAAAAATGTGCAGCGTTCATTAAAAAGAAAAACCTCGTGTTTCAGCTGTTGGGATCCTTGTCCTCCTATAACAGTAAGTACCCGAGCAACTGTTCCCTAATTATGCTCCTGCGTTGTTCCCGTCATATGTGCTCCTGATTGAGACAAGAAAGTGTCTGTTGCTCAGGAAGCTGGTCTAGAGCAGCCAATGCTTGAGTGAGTTCATGTAGAGAGAGAGGGGCTGGAGGAGAACCGCAGCAAAAAAAAAAAAAAAGTTTTTCTATGAGAAAAAAAAAAGCATGTCTCTTTTTGCTACACAAGGCTTTAACCCATTCCTGTCTAGCCTGTTATAAAATGACGGCTGGGCAGCAGCCCTGTTCTTCTAGAAGGATGTCGTATGATGTCCTCTGAGGATCGGGCCTCATGCGTGTTCCCCATGGGCCACCCTCTGCCGTGATCTGTTCTCCACTGGGTCTACCGGAGATAGCCGATGACTGTACCAGCCCACTGCTGGTACCATGTGATCGCTGTGGCCAATCACCCTTTGTTTCTTTTAGCTGCAGGGAGAATGACCGCTCCTTCTCGGAGCTATAGTGAAGGAAAAAGAAAAAGCCGGTAATTGCATTTAAAAAAACGGCAGTGACATTTAGCGATAGCCAGTGATGGAGCCTCCCTCATTGTATACACTGCTCCTCTCCTGCCGCCTCCTTGCACACAACTCCCCTCCCCCCTACAAAGAGGACCTGTCACTCATGTACTATAGGGGACTACTGGTGATAGCAATAAAATCATTGGTTTAAAAAAATAAATAAATAAAAATACACATTAAAGTAAAAAAAAATTGAGCCTCCCCACATACACAGGCATTTTGGTTCCGATTCTCAGCCACGTCTATTCTGAATTTTCGGTATCGGTTTCAATACCAGAATTTTCATTTCGGTGACCTTTTATTATTCACTTTTACATTACAGAGCATTCTTTTTTTTGTATTTGGAGAAAAATAACGGATAAGTTCACCTTTCTGAGGTGTTACACCTGTATTTAGGGTGTAATATGTTCAGCATCCTCCCCCTCTCCCTGCACCCACTGTCATAATTTGCAACCAGCTCCACCCACATAGCCGTGTCCTTCATTCAGAGTTCTGTGAATGAATGAACTACAACAGCCGTGTGCCATTGCAGAAGACTGCTTTTAGCTCTCAATGAACTGTGAGGGTGCTGATGAACGATTTTGTAGTTTATTGATCTTCCTGCAGTGCAGTAACTGCCTGCCCATATGGGAGGTACGGCTAGACAACTGACTGAGAGTCTGCAGGATCCTAGCATTGCACCCGCTATCTGCTGATCACGGGTGCAATGCTCTGCAGGCTCCTTAGGAAAAAGAAAAACTACTAATAATAAATGCACATTTTTTTCACTTGCAAAAAAAATGTTTAATTTTCTCAGTGAATTTATCCTTTGCCTTCTGCCTACAGAAAGGCTTCTCCACCATAAGAGCTGTGAAAATGAGGAATAGACTCTGTAAGGTACTAGTTCTAGTTCTAGTTAGCTGAATTATATTATTTTTTTTTTAACCACCTGACCTGTGGAAGATTTTACCCCTTTTTGTGGCCAGGCCATTTTTGGCTATTTAGCACTGCGCTACTTTAACTGGTAACTGTGCAGTCATCCAACATTGCACCCAAACAAAATGTAAGCACATTTTTTCCCACACAAATAGAGCCTTCTTTTGGTGGTATTTGATCACCACTGGGTTTTTTTTTTCATATTTTATTTTATAACTGAAAAAAAGACTGAAAATTTTGGAGAAAGATACAATGTTTTCTACTTTTTGTTACAGAAAATTTTATTTCTTCATAAATTTAGAGCAAAATGTTTTTTGCTACATGTCTTTGGTGAAAAAAGAAAATCCCCAATAAGTGTATATTAATCAGTTTGTGTGAAAATTATAACATCTACAAACTATGGTGTATATATCCTGGAATATTTATGTATTTATTTTTACACTAATAATGGCAGTGATCAGCGGCTTATAGGACTGTGATAGTGCGGCGGGCAGTCTGACACTAACTGATAGGGGGGGGGGGGGAATTGACTGACATCTCCAGTGACACTAATACAGTGATCAGTTCTAATAATATATCTCTTATATTGTAAGCTCTATCAAGCAGGGGCCCTTTGATTCTTCTTGTACCGTAACTGTAATGTCTGCCTTTGTTTTGTAAAGCGCTGCACAAACTGTCGGCGCTATATAAATCCTGTATTATATTAATATACTGTCACTGTACTAATGACACTGGCTCGGAAGGGGTTAACATTTAGGGGCAATCAAAGGGTTAATACTCTGAATTACAATGTTTACTACACAATGTGCTGGTTTTTACTCCCTGCTTTGCAGGGAGAAAAAAAACAGCACATTACTGCTGTCTGTAGACAGTCATTCGTCTGTATTACTTCTGTCATGCGCTCGGCCGATCAGCTGGTCCCGGCCATAAATCATTGGCTGGGACCCGCTGATCGGTTCATGCTGTAGTGAATGACAGCACACCCGGGGCAGCTGGCGCATGTGCACGCACCCCCCCCACCCTACTAAAGCACGTACATGTATGTGATTTAGTGCAGTGGGACCACGCTGCTGCAGTTTAAGTGTGGTGGGTGGTCCTGAAATGGGTTAAGCTATATACATTCCTAAATATATAGAATATAAACGGCTATTAATCCAGGGAATATACAAAATTGCTTTTTGAGATCAGAAGCAATTATTTTGCTTCTGTTGGAGCAAATTGGACCAGGCTTTATAAGTGTTTTTTGCTTTCCTTTGGCTTGTCTGTGGGTATAGAATTATTTTATATAGAGATTTTTGGTTTATTTTGTTCTATTTATGAAATATGTAGTGAGCGCTCTAATAGAAGTCAGCAGCTGGAACACATTAGGCAACCATAATGCCTTAAACATAAACAATCAATCTTAAATAATAAAGTGCAGCGCTAAGAAGGATGAAAAGTCAATAGGGTGATAATCTAGTATCACAAATGGTAAACTGTAGAGATACGGATTCCCACGTCCTCCACTCTGTCAGAGTAACAGAAATGCGCACTCACCGGAAACGCATGGGTTATGCGCATGTGTGATTATGCATCACGGGCAATGGGTACATCAGAATCCAGGCAGCCAGGCGTCTCCCTCACGGTGGGTCATCACAGACTCCTATAACAGGTCCGGGGATCCCCTTAAGGTAAGCCAGGTGTTTCAGGAGAAACCTCCTCTCAGGATGGCAAAGTGCTTTCTCTATGGGAGTGAAAGCTCCAGACAAGAGCCCCAGAAAACAAATGCCCAAAATAGTGTAGTATGTCCAAAAACTCTGGTTTATTTATAAAAACAGCAGCAGGGCAGTATGCATATAGTACATCATGGATATGGTGAAAAGCATAGAGTAAAAGATGCAGTACTGACCCAATAGTATAGACCGCCGGGCCTCCTCGTGGCTCCGGCGCGTGACGTCATTCACCCCCGCCGGAGCCACGAGGAGGCCCGGCGGTCTATACTATTGGGGTCAGTACTGCATCTTTTACTCTATGCTTTTCACCATATCCATGATGTACTATATGCATACTGCCCTGCTGCTGTTTTTATAAATAAACCAGGGTTTTTGGACATACTACACTATTTTGGGCATTTGTTTTTCTGGGGCTCCTGTCTGGAGCTTTCACTCCCATAGAGAAAGCACTTTGCCATCCTGAGAGGAGGTTCTCCTGAAACACCTGGCTTACCTTAAGGGGATCCCCCGGACCTGTTATAGGAGTCTGTGATGACCCACCGTGAGGGAGACGCCTGGCTGCCTGGATTCTGATGTACCCATTGCCCGTGATGCATAATCACACATGCGCATAACCCATGCGTTTCCGGTGAGTGCGCATTTCTGTTACTCTGACAGAGTGGAGGCCGTGGGAATCCGTATCTCTACAGTTTACCATTGTGATACTAGATTATCACCCTATTGACTTTTCATCCTTCTTAGCGCTGCACTTTATTTTGTTCTATTGGTTGAACCCAATGGACTTGTCTTTTCTTTTTTTTTTTTTTCTATATTTTTTTCTTTTTTTTTAACCTAACTATGGAACATGGAAAGGTACATAACTTGTGGAGTGAACTCTGTTACAAAAAAAAAAAAAAAACAAAAACACTGCAAAGTTGAGCAAACAATATAATAAACCTAGATTGTAAGCTCTGATGAGCAGGGCCCTCTGTTTCCTCCTGTACCAAATTGTATTGTAACTGTACTGTCTGCCTTCATTTTGTAAAGCGCTGCGCAAACTGTTGGCGCTATATAAATCCTGTATAATAATAATGTAAGCGTGTTTTCTTGTGAATGGCAGGGATCACACTGAGTGCCCGGTGTCGGCGTGTTCCTGTAAGTGTATGCAGCTGGATACGACGGGGAATCTGGTACCTGCAGAGACTGTGCAACCATAACCACAGCCAGGACATGTGTAGGACATCCTCTATCCCTTTTCCAGCCAGAGATATGGACCACAATGGCAGTCCACGCACATCCACCAAGACCGCTGTAACAGATGTACTTCTACATACCACTGGCCGCTGTTACAAGGACAGCAGTAGGATTTGACCACAGTTGGTTTCGTTGAAGGTTTTTGTACTTTACTGTGTAAGATAAATGAGTATTAGACTAAGTTACCCGGATTGGAATTGTTACAAAAAATAATAAAGATGTAATAATTAACAATGCAGTGAGATTTTCTCTGGTTTGCTGGGTCAATCTGGATCCATTTTTGTGGATCCAGGGTTATGGACTACTCCATCTGGTATTTTGCTGGGTTTCAACATCACACAAAAAGATCACTCTGAAGAGGACCGGTCATACACAAAACTGTATGAATCATCTGGTAAAAGCTGCTGGTCTTGGATGGTCTTCCTACATAGTATTTCTGGGTGCAGTGAGACTAAACCCATCACCTCTTGTCACCCACGTAATGCAGATGTGTGGCAGCAAAGAGGGTGGGCTTTATTGCCTACATGCCACACATATGCAGCCATATTTCTCTGCCGAGATTATTCCCAGCACCGAGACTAAGCTGTCAAACTCCATTCCTGGTCTAGTAATCATGGGGAGCTGGTGGGACCAGCTTTCAATCATGTGACCACATTGACAGCCAGAATGTAAGTGTACAATCCAAACACACACACGTTCCTGCATTAAAGTGTGTATAAGTGGGTGCTGCAGGTGTTGTTCCTATTTCAGAGAGTAGGGAGCAGGGGCGGACTGACAACTCATGGGGCCCCTGGGCAATAGGGGATCATGGGGCCCCTGTGTCCTTGCCCAAACTCAAAAAAGCCTATGAAAAAGGTACCAGGGGCATCTCATGGGGCTCCCTACTGACCTCGGGCAGTGCCCGAGTTTCCAAATAGTCCGCCCCTGGTAGGGAGGTATGTACAGGTGATGGATGGGAGTATACAGGTGAGGAATGGCGTATACAAGTGCTGAATGGGAGAGGTATACATATGTACAAGCAGGGTTTAGAGCCAATGGTTGGCTCTTGTAAAAGCAATCTGAGTGACTAACTAGCCGCTGGACCACTTTTACAAGCAGCAGGATGGGAAGCCTCCTTCCTCGGGCTGTCCTTTCCTCCGGTTGACCATAGAGGCATACAAAGACCAAAACCACTCTACCTCTATGATATAGGCAACAGGAAGCGGTGAGCATACATCCCTTGCGGTTCTGCCGGACGTAATCGGTGCCATTTTTACAAATGGAAAGAATTTGATTGCACTCATCTTGGTGTGATCAGATGCGGTTAAGGGCAGAGGAGGGATCTGGGGTCTTATTGACCCCTAATCTCTCCCTAAAGAGTACCTGGCACATGCTTATTGCTGTCACAAGGGATGTTTACATTTCTTGTGACAGCAATAAAAGTGATAGAAAAATTAAAGTGTCAGTGTAAAAAAAAATAAAATAAATTTAAAGCACCCCCATGCACTGATGATCAGTGTGCCCTGATGATCAGTGTAGCCCTAGCAGTGCCACCTGTCAGTGTCCATCAGCGCCAGCTCTCAGTGCTCATCCATGCCACCTGCCAGTGCCTAACAGTGCACATCAATGCCAAATATCAGTGCCCATCTGAGCTGCCTTTCAGTGTCACCCATCAGTGCCATATCAATGCCAGTCAGTGCCGCCTAACAGTGCCAGTCAGTGCCGCCGCCTAACAGTGCCAGTCAGTGCCACCTATCAGTGCCGCCTAACAGTGCCAGTCAATGCCACCTATCCGTGCCATATATGAGTGCTGCCTTTCAGTGCCCATCAGTGATGCCTGTCAATGCCCATCAGTGCCACCTACTGAAAGGAATTGGCTCTTCTCGTTCCTTTCTGTAGCCACTGACCCCCATCAGTCCCTGGCCTTGATCAGTGTCTGTCCTCAGGCCTGGAGCCCCCCCCCTTTGAGACACAGGAAATGCACACAGACACAAGGTGGTATCTCAGAAGGAACTGAATTTATTCTTCCGTGTTTAAACTTATATATGAAACTTAAAACAATACATGGAAATATAAGAACCAATCAATTGACAGATATTCCCCACTATCTCTGACCTGTGGGTTCCTTATTGTGAAAATTATATTCCCTTGGCCTTGTGCTATAGAGATTCTTTGATAGGTGCCTATGTCCTCTAGGGGAATTCTAGCTGATTGGGTCTCCCATTTATGAGGGTCTGTTTCCACCATATATTCTCCCAGTAACCACAGGGCTTATTCCTCCCACACATGTATACATTATAAGGTCCAATATCATAAGTAACTTTAGTCGGGTCAAACACCTGGTTTTTAGTCAGAGTAAACACTATGGTCTGATTTACATCCTCAGTAGTCAAGACTGGTGTTTCCTGTACCCCCCATCACTTATCTTGTACAAAGGACATTCTTCTCATCCTTCTCTTAGTGCGGGTAGACTTCGTTTCTTTCTGACACTAGAATGTTGTGTACTATGGTTTTTGTGTGTGCACTGGTTCTGCATTATCTGGGTCACTAGCTTGGATGGAGGTATTACATATACTCTAAATCACTCCATAATCATCTGGGTGATAAATGCAGTTAGTTATTGTCCATACTGGGAGGAACACAGTCAGGGTTGCTAGTATGAGGAAGCAAAATGTCTGCCCAGAGTTCTGTGAGAGCATCAGAAAGGTCATCTTCTTCAAAGACTTTTACACCAGCTTCACTTCCTTTTTCTTCTTCTGTATCTGTGTCTTTGCCTTTGTCTTGCTTCTTAGGGGCTTGGTTCACCCTTTTTACACGGCTGGCATGGATCCAGGCCTTGGAATCCTCAGTCAGGACAGCGGTCCTGGTGACAGCGATCACAGAAGTGGGGGGCCCAAAGGATACTCTTGCTTCCGATTCCTATGGAGGGCTTGTATCACCACACGGTCCCCGACTTGGAAAGAGTGAGTTGGTTCCTGTGAAGAAAGAAGAAAGGTGCGAGCAACATTTCTTTCAACCTTGTCCAAAGTTCAATAAGTTTTTCTCACATATTCCTCCTGAATCAATTCCAAATCCCCTCTTTCTACCATGAGTGGCTGTCTGGCCCAGGGAGTGGGAAAGGGCCTACCCATTAGAACCTCAAAGGGGGAGTAACCTGTCTTTTTAGAAGGAGTCATCCTTACCTCTGGCCAAGACTGCAGGGCAGTACTTTCTTCCAGTTTGCATAGGTACCTCCAGTAGCTTTCCTAATTTTATCCTTGATGGTCCTATTCATCCTTTCCACTATACCTGAGCTCTGAGGGTGGTAAGGAATGTGAAACTTCCACTCAATTTTGAGTGTTTTCACCAAATCCTGACATACCTTGGCCACAAATGCTGGACCGTTGTCAGAATTAATCTGGAGTGGGACATCCCCACCTGGGAATAATTTCCCGTGTAAGGATCCTCACTACAGTTTGGGCATCTTCTTTTGTGGTTACAAAGCTTTCTACCCAGCAGGCTAAACATGTCCACAATTGCCAAAAGATATTCTTGTCTTTTTCCTTCCTTTGGCATGTGTGTAAAATCTACCTGTAGGTGGGTAAAAGGTGTTGATGGGTATGTCAGGTGTTCATGTCTTGCCCTGTGAGGATTGTTTGGGTTATTCCTTATGCATGTAATGCATCTAGACACATATGATTTTACCAAAGGGAAGGCCAGGAATGAAAAAATCATTATCCAGCAGTTCACATGTAACCTGCCATCCCCTGTGACCTACTCCATGATACTGTGAGATGAACAGAGGTGCACTGGCCTTTGGAATGCATGGTCTCCCCTCTGTGACACAAAGTCCAGTTTGTGGATCTTTGGTCACACCAGCTGCATTCCACTGCTTAATATCTTCTGAGGTAGCATATGTCTGTAAATCCTGCAATGTTTGATCCAACAGTGGCATTTCAGGGGTGAGCATTGGCATCTGGATCATGGCAGGCTGGGTAAGGGCCGCCTCTTTTGCTACTTTGTCAGCTAAAGCATTTCCCTTTGCAATATCAGTTTGTTCATTTGTGTGTGCCCTACAGTGTAGGATAGCAAGGGATCTTGGCAGTTGTATGGCTTTGAGTAAAGCCTTCACCAGAGATGAATGTGAGATGGATTTTCCATCTGCTGCAATGAAATCCTCTCTTTTCCCAAATTATTCCAAAATCGTGGCACACGCCAAACTCATATCTGGAATCTGTGTAAATATTTACATCCTGACCCTCAAAAAGCTGACATGCTCTTGTAAGGGCTATCAGTCAGCGGCCTGAGCTGACTTGTATGGGATGGGTTTTGCTTCAAGTACTTTATCTGGCAACTGCACCACCGCATATCCTGCATGGTAAACAGTGTCAGTGGGTCTCGAGCAAGAGCCATCTACAAAAACATTCTGTGCCTCTGGAAGAGCCACAGAAGACATATCCTGTCTTGGGGAGGTGTCCTGATGAATCAATTCCAGGCAATCATGCTGTGGAACAACTTCATCCTGCTCTCCTTTAAGCCTAATAAGGCATTCAAAATTGGAGCTGGACCTGAAGTGGGAGAGGTATATTTTATTCTCAACTTAGGGTTTGACAACAGTATAACCTCATATCCACTAAGTCTCTGGGCTGACATGTGTTGGGTATGTATATTCTTGAGTAGAATAGACACATTGTGGGTAGTATGTAAGGTGGTCTCTCATGTCCCAGAGTGAGTGACGTAGCCATTTGGACCACCATAGCGCATGATGCTAGTGCTCTGAGACACGCAGGCATGCCTTGGACCTGTACTGGAACCATTTTTTGAGAAAAAAAGCAACAGGGCGGAGTTTTCCTCCATGCTCCTGGGCCAGGACCCCTGCCATAGTTTTACAATTTTCCCTAGCATACAGATGAAACATTTGATTATATGCGGGCAGACCAAGACCAGGGCTATTACCATAGCATTTTTCAGATACACAAAAGCATTGCACATATCATCTGACCAT